CCGGACCCCCCACTCCCTGGACTGGAGCCCCCTGACTCCCTGGCCCCAAACCCCCCATCTCCCTGGCCTGGATTTCCCCCCACTCCCTGGCCCAGACCCCTCCCTACTGACTGGGACCCCCCCCTCTACTCCCAGACCCCACCCCCCAACCCCTCCACTCCCTGCCTTATTCCGGATCCCATCCAGGGGCCTTGCAGCTCGCATTCCCCTACCCCTGCCTCTCACCCCTGTCAGAGGACCAGCCCCTTCGTTCCTGGTCAGTTCTCGATCCTCCCCCATGGCCAAGACCCTGATTACCCCTGCCCTGGCCAGTTTGGCTTCCTGAGACCGGGGGTGGGAGAGAGGTGGGAGTGGCTATGGGTGAGAGGAGGTGCCGGCTGGCTGACCACGCGTGGCCTACCTCCAGCTCCCCGTGCTCCCTCCCAGCGCCCCGTGACAGCCTGGGGACCCTGTGACAACCTGGGGCCTGGCTCTGCCAGCTGTGTGACTTCAGGTCACTCCACCACCCTCTCTGGGCTACAGGACGGGAGATGCATGCTGAAAGTAGACTATAGACCGAACGTGATTGCCACTCAGTGCCTCTTTTGCAAACCACAGCACCCAGAAGGAGAGAGAGAACAAAAGGGAATGCCCCTGGGGGGCGCCACACCTCTCAGAGAATGCTCCAGGTCCCAAAAAGAGCCGAAATCACCAGGAGGTCCCAGATGGGGTAGGTGCTGCATCCCGCCTTCTCCAGATGGAACCCCGATGACCACGAGCCTACAAGAGGGCCCCAGGACATTCTTTCCAAACTGCACTGGGGCTGCCCCAGCTCCCAGGCAACCTCTGATTCCGGAAGCCACGCCCACAACCTCATATACAAAGTGACTTCTTATATACAAAGTGATCAATGGAAAGTAAATCATCCAACGTTTCTCCCTGAAAATCAGACTTAACTCTTTTACAAACCACAACACCCAAAAAGAGAGAGAGAGAACAGAGGGGAATGCCCTGCCACAGAGGCAGGGTGGGATGTGGGGGCTGGGGGGTGGGAGGGATACTGAGATCCGTGGTGGTGGGAAATGGGCGCTGGTGGAGGGATGGGTATTCAGAATAAATTTAAAAAAAAAAAAAGGGAATGCCCTGCCACAGAGGCAGGGTGGGATGGGGGGATTGGAGATGGGAGGGATACTGGGATTGGTGGTGGTGGAGAATGGGCACTGGTGGAGGGATGGGTACTCGATCATTGTACAACTGAAACCCAAGCACCAAAATTTGTAAGTCTACAACTGTACCTCATGGTGTTTCACTAATAAAAATATTTTTAAAAAGGCGGGGGGGAGGTAGGGGGGGCGATAGTATGACAGGTAGGACATTGGCCTTGCCCACAGGGTTTGATCCCCAGCACCCGGGTGGTCTCCAGCACATTCAGGAGTGATCCCTGAATGCAGAGGCAGGAGTAAGCCCTGAGCACTGCCAGGTGAGGACAGTCCTCCAGAAAAGGGAATCTCTGGGGCCCAGAGCGATAGCACAGTGGGGAGGGCATTTGCCTTGCACGTGGCTGACCCGGGTTCAATCCGCGGCATCCCATAGGGTCCTACGAGCACCGCCGGGGTAATTCCTGAGTGCAGAGCCAGGAGGGACCCCTGAGCATCATCGGGTGTGACCCTTAAAAGAAAATAAAAAAAGGAAGAAAAGGGGCCCTCGCTCTCTGAGCCCACCTTCCCCCTGTGCACGCGTCACATCTCTGCATGCTTGTCTCTTGTTCTTTCAACAATAGTAAGTTTCAATCAAAACCATTTTTCATCATGAAAAAAAAAAATAGGCCAGAGGCCTGGGAGCTAGCACAGGAGGGAGGACACCTGGCCATGCCCGCTGGACTCCTGAGCACAGGGCTAGGAATGGCCCCTGAGCACCAACGCTGTGGTCCTCAAACAAACGCCTTTTTTTTTTCCTTTTCTTCTTGGGTCACACCTGGCGATGCTCAGGGGTTACTCCTGGCTCTGCACTCAGGAATTATTCCTAACGGTGCTTGGGGGAACCACATGGGAAGCGAACCCTGGTTGGCTGCTTGCAAGGCAAACACCCAACCCTCTGTGCTATCACTCCAGCCCCCAAACACCTTTTTTTTTTTATTTTAAAAAGTTCCCGGGGGGCTGGAGCGATAGCACAGCAGGTAGGGCGTTTGCCTTGCACGCAGCCAACATGGTTGACATAGGTTCGATTCCCAGCATCCCATATGGTCCCTCGAGCACCGCCAGGGGTGATTCCTGGGTGCATGAGCTAGGATCAACCCCTGAGCATCGCCGGGTGTGACCCAAAAAGCAAAAAATAAATTAATTAATTTAAAAAAAAAAGTTCCTGGGCTGGAGCGATAGCACAGCAGGTAAGGCGTTTGCCTTGCATGCAGCCGACCTGGGTTCGATTCCCAGCATCCCATAGGGTCCCCCGAGCACCGCCAGGAGTAAGTCCTGAGTGACGAGCCAGGAGTAACCCCTGTGCATCGCTGGGTGTGACCCAAAAAGCAAATAAATAAATAATAAAATTTTAAAAAAAGTTCCCTTAAGGGGTGTTTGCCTTGCACACGTCCGGCCCAGGTTCAATCCCCGGCATCCCATATGGTCCCCTGAGCACTGCCAGGAGTAATTCCTGAGTGCAAAGCCAGGAGTTATCCCTGAGTATTGCTGGCTGTGACCCAAGAAGGAAAAAAAAAAAGTTCCCTCAAGAAAAAGAAAGAAACTGGTTCCATCCTTTTGAGCTAGAATTGCTCCGAGGAGCAAGGCAAGACCCGAGCTATGGGTGCATGAGGCCATGAGTTCAATCCACAGTGCCGACCAGGTTGTCTGCTGTCTGGGACCCCAATACTACACAGCCAGGCGTGTGCAGGTTCACAACCAAGATGCGGGACAGCCCCCACTCGGCGATCGCACATGTGGGAACTGCAGTGACCCCACAGCTCAGGCACCCCCCGACACGCACACACATGAACACCGCCAGACTGCGCCCCCGGAAGTGCCGTGAGTGTGAAGGGGAAGGTGGGGACGGACGACTCACTTGGCCAAGGGGGGTTATACAGGTTCGCTCACGGAAGCCTTACAAGCAGAGCACAGGACCCCCTGCATCTATGTCGGGGAGGCGAGACCCCCAAAGGTAAAGCTGTTCCACACCTGTCCCTTCATGCCAGCATCCTTCCTGCCTGGCACGTGGGCGAGGGCACTCAGCTGTGTGGCACTGACCGGCTGGGGGGTGGGGACGGACATGTTACTTAGCTCTTCTGTGCCTCAGTTTCCACCTCTATAGAATGGGTATGTGTTGATAACACGCCCTCACGGGCTTCAGGGCCCCTGCACTCTCCACTCCTGTTGCTCAGCTGGCAGTCAGGGAAACTGGGGGAGGGAGGTGCTGGGTGGGTTTCTAGGGTCCCTTGCTCCCAGGGTAAGTATGGGACTGAGGTTGCCATCCAAACGGCTGGCATCCAGACCCCATGTTTGAAAGCAACAGGCCAGGAGTTCAATCCCCAGTGCTGACCCAGGTACCACCCCAGGCTTCCTGGCCCACTAACTTCCCTCTCTGGGGGTGCAGGCCTTGCTGGACAGCTGTCCTCTTGGGAGGGGCTGAGACCTCAACTTCTCATCCTGTTGTGCCTAAGCGGGTCCCCCCGGGGCTGGAGCAATAGCACAGCGGGTAGGGCGTTTGCCTTGCACACGGCCGACCCGGGTTCGATTCCCAGCATCCCATATGGTCCCCTGAGCACCGCTGGGGGTAATTCCTGAGTGCAGAGCCAGGAGTAACCCCTGTGCATCGCCAGGCGTGACCCCCCCCCAAAAAAAGCAAAAACAAAGCGGGTCTCCCCCACCCCAGCACACACGGCGGGGTGGGGGCAGCAACCCAGACACAGAGCCAGGCAGAGCCCGGCCTCTGGGACTTCTGGGCTGGGAGAGGTGGCCAGGGGCATAGGGTCCCATGAGGGCCTGTGGAGGGTCGGGGCCGGGGTGGGAGGAAGACCCGGAAGCACTTGGTGCTGGTCAGCTGCTCCTTGCCCCCAGCCCTGGAGGAAGTGGAGGCAGCGGACACCCGGATCCAAATCCCAGGCGGCCCCCAGAGTTCCTGGGGCCCTGAGCCCGGGGTGTCCCCTCTTCCTGCAGGAGGCGCCCACTCCTGCTGGCCTCTCTCCCACCCCCCTCAGCCAACTCTCAGCACCCTGCCAGGAGGACACCCGTTCCTGCGGGCTCTCCCTCTCCCTCCTGCCCGGGCCAGATGGCCTCCTTCCTGCCCTGGCCACCGCGTGCCGCCTCCTGTCGCTCCCAGGGAAACAGAAAGCTGGGATGGAAAACTCTGGGCTTCCCCAGGAACCCGGGGGTGCTCTGCCCCTGGGCACTGCCCCCCACTCCAGCATCCCTCGCAGAGACATACACTTTGGGGGCCCCCCTGATACCTGCAGCTGACTGAGTTATGGGGGGGATGCTGAGTGTCGCTTGGGGGTACCACCCCGGCACTGCTTGGGAAGCCGTCAGGATGGAGCAGTACTGGGGGGCAGGAGGGCAATGTCGCCTGAGCGCCTAGGAGTGCTGTGAAGGACCCAGGAAGCAGGAAGCACCAGCTGAGATGGGAAGGGGGGCGGTGAGGATGGGACGCTCTTATTAGTCACCCAGAAGAGCCAGGGTCAGGCACTGTTATACTCTGGAATAGGGCAGCCTGGCTGGAAGGGCCCCTGCCCTCGGACTCCTGCACGAACAATCTCTCCGATCCCTCTTCTGGGCCCCCTTTAGAGATGGGGAAACTGAGGCAGCTCTGGTCCCTGAGTCAGGGCCGCAGGGAGGGAGATGGCTGCGCTCTCTCGCCCCGCGTCTGACCCCGCTGAGGAAAGGAAGTCCTGGCAGGTACTTCCTCAGGCATGGGGGCACGTGCACCCCAAGTGCCAGGATGGGTGCAGAGAAGGAGGATGGGTGGTGAGGCCGGTCCAGGGTCCCCCAAGGCTCAATGTTGGGAGGTAGGGTGGGGGCGTTGCAGTGGAGGGCGGCATGGGCGGGGTGAGGACCCCAAGGTCAGGACAAGGCGACAGGTTCACTCTACCCCCATCAGGGACCAGCACGGAGTGTGTGTGGACATTGCAAGAGAGTGGCCGAGCCCCCTGGGTCAGGAGGGGCCGCCGTACACTCCAAGCTCCTGGCCGGGCTCTGGGGAGTCAGGCAGAGTGTCAGAGGCGGGATAGCTGCCCAGCTCGAGTTTGGCCCCCTGCACTTGGGGGTGGTGGGCAGCTCCCAGTTCCCCAAAGTACCTGCTCTTTTTTTTGCTTTGCTTTTGGGGTCACACCTGGCAATGCACAGGGGTTCCTCCTGGCTCTGCACTCAGGAATCACTCCTGGTGGTGCTTGGGTACCATATGGGATGCTGGGAATCGAACCCGGGTTGGCCACATGCAAGGTAAACGCCCTCCCCGCTGTGCTATCGCTCAGACCCTCTCCTGCTCTTTCAGGAAGAGGTCGACCAGATCAGAGGTTGCCTGGCCTCATCTGTTCTTCCTGCTTCTTCCCAGACATGCTGCACGTTGGGCGACCACCGCCGGGTAAGAGAGGCGGATTCTTCTCTTTCCACAGCAAAGGTGAGAAAGGGAGGGTCCGGGAAAGCTGGGGTCAGAGATGGAGGCTGCAACGTGTTCCCTCCCCAGTGTCCTCTCTCTTCAGGACCCCTCCCCCAGGGAGCATCTGTGTGGAGAAGCGGATCTCCACACCCAGGAATTAATCCTGGTGGTGCTCCGAGGACCCTATGGGATGCCGGGGATCGAACTGGGGTCGACCGCGTGCAAGGCAGATGCCCTCCCTGCTGGGCTACGGCTACGCCACCCCGCCCCGTTTGCTAGTTCCTTGGGAGTTTTCCGCTGCTCCCAATAAAGCAGAGGGTCCAGTTTTCTCCATCTCCCGCCCCCCAGCCCCGCCCACACCCCCCCCCCCCCCCCCCCCCCGTCCCCAGCACGCCAGGCAACCACGGGGCCTTTAAACTGTTTCCATAGTGTTTCCATAACGCCTTGAATTTGGGAATCTGTGAATTTTCAACCTCCCCTGCATTCGCACACCCCCCCCCCCCGCACCCCATCTCCCCCGCCCTGCGGGGAGGCCTGTGGGGGAGGGCGGAGCCTCACCCCTCTTCCCGAGGCGGCCGTCTGCCCGCTTCTGCCTCTGCGTCTCTGCCAGCGTGTGCTCAGCTGGTCTCTGCCCTCCGCGGCTCCCCAGGCGACCGGGGGGCTTTTGAACTGTCTCGTCTCTCTCAGCACCCCCTCTCCCGACCCAGCAGTGACTCACTCCTTCCTGCCCCTGAATAATACCCGTTGTCTGGCTGTACCCCAGAAGCCACGGGGCGGGGGGGGGGGCTTCTGCCCTCCGGAAACGGGAGCTGGAACGTCTGTAAAGCGCCGGTGGGGGGCAGGTTTTGTGTGAGCATCACCCCCCCCCGCGGGTGTTGGAGAACCTTTGGGGCATCTCCCAGCTTTGCCCTCCGCGGTTGAGGGGGCAGAGGGGTCTGGGCTCGGGGGTCTTCCCAAAGCAGGTTTCCTGGTGGGCATTTTTAGGAGAGCTCAGGGGGGAGGAAGCTGGGGTGTTTGCAGACCCCACCAGCCTCTGTCTGCCCACCCCGACCTTCCCCAGGTCTGAGCCCCTCAAAACTGCTCACACCCCCAAACCATCCCAGGGCCTGCCATCACTGGCTCCCCCTTCCGCTCCCCTAATTGGCCTCCCTGCCTGCCTCGGGGCCCTGGAGACCGTCTCCACGCAACCGGCCACGGGATCTTGCATCAACACAAGCCACGCATCGTCCTTCCCTGCCGAGCCTCAAACCGGATCCTCTGGCCAGCGTTGCAGAACTGGGTTGTAGCCCCTGCCCTCCAGGGGAGTGAGGGAAGCGGGGGGCGGGGGGGTTCAGCCTGCTCCTCCTGCCGCCCTGGCCTTCTTCCTGCTCCCAGCACACCCAGGTCCTACCAGCCTTACCTTGGACCACCCGGCCCCACCTTCTAGAACTTTCTACCCCCTGGCTGCTTCGTGTTCTCTAGATTTCCCAGCCTGATTATAAATACACTTGCTTAGTTAATTATTCATTAGTTTACTGCCTCCTTCCCCATTAGAATAAAACGATGAGCTTGTCTGGTTGCCAGACCCCCAGAGGTGGGCACCGTGCCCCCTCAGAACACGGGCTTCAGGGAATGATGCTTCAGCCCAGAGGGCGGGCGTCCCTCCCAATGCAGGAAGGGGGCGGGAAGGAGGGACACTGCAAAGCAAGACCCAGAAGGGCCACGGCAGCCCCCACAAACCCACCCCTCAGCATCTCTGTTTTCTGCTAGGATTGAGGGGGGGTTCCCAGGACCCCCAGAGAGATGAACTTTGTCCCAGCTGCCCCCGGCTACCAGCAAGGGGAGAGGAAATTGTGCCCCCCAGCAGGCCTGGAGATGAATTAAAGTAGGGGGAAGGGACTTGGTGTGCCCAAGGCTGGGGGTGGGGGGACATTTCTGGGGTTGGGGGGGACAATCACCCATGCTCCCCTATGGCTGCAGGCAGTGAGGATGCTGGGAAATGTGTTTCCACTGTCTGACAAAGCAGCAGGTGCTAAGGTAAGGGGGTTAGGGGGAGAACAGCGAGGAGGAGGAATGGTCTTGCCTGCAGCCAACCCTGGTTTGATCTCTGACACCGTACATAATCCCGAGCACTGCCAGGAGTGGTCCCTGAGCACAGAGCCAAGAGTGGTCCCTGAGCACAGAGCCAAGAGTCAGCCCTGAGCACAAAGCCAAGAGTGATCCCTGAGCAGAGCCAAGAGTGAGCCCTGAGCAGAGCCAAGAGTGAGCCCTGAGCACAGCCAGGTGGGGCCAAGAGGGAAAAAAAGAGAGAGGTGTTGGAGTCAGAGCGATAGTACAGCGGGAAGGTCGCATGCCTTGCTCATAGCTGACCCAAGTTCATTCCCCGTCACTCAATATGGTCCCCTGAGCCTGCCAGGAATGATCCCTAAGTGCCAGGAATAAGCCCTGAGCACTGCCAGGTGTGACCCTAAAACCAAAACCCCAAAAATCACCATAAGGGGTCAGAGAGGAAGTACAATGGCGGGGTGCTTACTCTGCACAGGCCAACCCTGGTTCGATCCCCAACACCACACAGGGCCCCCCAAACCCCACCAGGAGAGAGCCCTGAGCCCTGAGCACCAGCTGGTGTGTCCCCAAACCAACAGGAATTTTTTTTTCACTTTTTGGGTCACACCTGGCGATGCACAGGGGTTACTCCTGGCTCTGCACTCAGGAGTTACTCCTGGCGGTGCTCAGGGTACCATATGGGATGCTGGGAATCGAACCCGGGTCGGCCGCGTGCAAGGCAAACGCCCTACCTGCTGTGCTATCTCTCCAGCCCCAACAGGAATTAAATAAACCAAAAGCCACCTTAGCCAGCTGAGAGGCCCCACTTAGCCAGCTGCCCCCAATGTCCTGGGGCCGCCCACTTAGAGGGGCACTGTTGGGGACCGCTCTGGGCCCACCCACCCTGTCCTTCCCATAGGACGGTTTCTCCCTGGGGACACTTGCACAACATTTCCGTCTTCACAAAGGACAAAGGCATCAAGTGTGCAAGTGTCTCACCCAGGTCCGTCTTCCCTGGGCCTCTGCTGCCTGTCTCAGCTTTCGGGGAACTGGTGCCCCCTCCTTTAAAGAGGGTCCCTGCATGGTGCTGCGGGGCCTGTTCTCCAGGTCAAGGACCCGGCTCAGGGGACCCGGCACACCAGGCTTTGTCCCTGCCCACAGGTGTGGGGCGCCTTGAGAACTCAGGAGTGGTCAGGCGTCAGGGAAGGAGCAGACGCCTGAGGGACGGGTGCTGAACATGGGGGCCCCTTGGTACCAGAAGGAGATCCCTCCTCTGCCACGAGCACCCTCAATCCTAGAACCCGCCTGGACGCAGTACCGGACAGGGCTTCGTCGTGGACAAGGGAGCTGGTGGTGCCGTGGAAAGGAATTTCCTTCGAGATTTTCAACGTTTGGGGTGCCCAGTTAATAGGCACCAAAATAGAGGCTCATTTACACAGGAGAAAGTAAGGGGGTCCGCCCGCGCCCTGTACTCCCCCATCCTGGTGTGTCGTGACGCAAGCTGAGCGGGGAATCGCCTCTGCCGCCCCCACCCACCCACCCACCCTCGCCCAGGTCCGGGGTTCAGCGGAGACCCGGCGGACCGGGCCGGGCCGTGCTAGGTGGGCACAGATCACATCCGCCCCACGCCGGGTCGCCCTCCCACCGCGCTCGGAGGTCACAAGCTCTGTGACCTTGGACAGCGCAGTCCTAGACTCCGCCCGGGCCTCAGTTTCCCCCGTTGGGATCTCCAGCCTGCGCTCAGCCAGCCGCTCCCTTCGCCGAGCTCCCGGAGCAGAGCCGCGGCTGCCCTCCGGGGAACGGTCTGCGTCCCCGCCACGGGAAGGGCGCGGAGCGCATCGGGGTTGCGCGGGGTCCCCCCCTCCCATCTCCCAGACCCCCGCGGCCCCCGGGGGCGCCGCCCCTCGGCGCGGGGACCCGCTGGGCGCCGCTCCCAGCCCCGCGCCGCCTCCCGGGGGCGCCCCCGTCTCGGCGGCCGGCGCGGCACGGGTGCGGGGCTGGGCCGGGGCGGGCCCCGGGGAGCCCGCGGGGCGGGGCCGCCGCACCCGCTCCCCTCCCCGCCGCCCGCCGCCCGCTCCTCCCGCAGCCCCGGCTCAGAGCGGCGGCAGCAGCGGCCGCGGCAGCAGCTCCGGCTCCGGCTCCGGCTCCCCCGCCGCTCGCGCTCCCGCGCCGGGCCCCGCGCCCCGACCCCGCCGCCGCGCCTTTCGGGGGGCCTCGGGCACCCCCGCCGCCCGCCTCACGCTGAAGTTCCTGGCCGTGCTGCTGGCCGCGGGCATGCTGGCGTTCCTCGGTGCCGTCATCTGCATCATTGCCAGCGTGCCCCTGGCGGCCAGCCCGGCGCGGGCGCTGCCCGGTGGCGGCGTTGGCGGCGGCGGCGGCGACAACGCCTCGGCCGCCCCGGGCTCTGCCGGCGCGTCCCCGGGCCCGCAGCGCAGCCTGAGCGCCTTGCACGGCGCGGGGGGCTCGGCCGGGCCGCCCGCGCTGCCCGGGGCGCCGGCGGCCAGCGCGCACCCGCTGCCGCCCGTGCCCCTGTTCAGCCGTTTCCTGTGCACGCCGCTGACCGCCGCCTGCCCGTCGGGGGCCGAGCCGGGGGACGCGGCGGGCGGCGAGCGCGAGGAACTGCTGCTGCTGCAGAGCACGGCCGAGCAGCTGCGCCAGACGGCGCTGCAGCAGGAGGCGCGCATCCGCGCCGACCAGGACACCATCCGCGAGCTCACGGGCAAGCTGGGCCGCTGCGAAGGCGGCCTGCCGCGGGGCCTGCAGGGGGGCGCGGGCCCCCGCCGGGACACCATGGCCGACGGCGCCTGGGACTCGCCCGCGCTGCTGCGGGAGCTGGAGGACGCCGTGCGCGCCCTGCGGGACCGCATCGACCGCCTGGAGGTGAGGCGCGCGCGCCGCGCCGTCGGGGCGGTGGGCGGGAGGGGCGCGCGCGCCGCGGGGGACCCCGGGGACCCCTCACCCCGGCTCTCCCGTCCGGCTCCCTCCGGGGACGCGGCGCCGCCCGCGCTCGCTCGTTTCTCGCACCCTAGTCCCGCGCCTCTCGGCTCCGCTCCGCGTGCGTAAAAGCGCGGAACGGCTCCCGTTCCGCGCTGGAGAGTCGCCGTCTCTCAGGGGAGGGAACGCGGGGCCGCGGCGACCGGCGTCTCCCGACACGCCCCTTTTGTTTCCTTCTGTCCCCCGGACCCGCGCCGGCCCGGACACTCACTCCCTACGGTAGCGGCCAAGGATTCGGGGTTCTTCGCTTCCGCCGGAGAGGAGGGAACCACATAGGTGCCCCTCACCTCCAAGCCTCCCCTAGATGCCCACCCCCCCGACTGGGATCACTGCCCAGACAGTGAATTCTCCCTGCTGCCGAACGGGGGTTGGGGGTGGGCGAGCACTGGGCACAGAGCAGGGTTCAGCACTGCCGGGATCACCACCTTCACTGCACTCCTGGACTGCAGCGGGGTCTGATGCCGGCCTGGGCTCTGGTCCCCCATCCTGCTCGCTCCCAGACCCCCACGGGGCCCTCTGGAGGGGATGAGGGACCGACCAACCGAGACAGACCCCAAAGACCCCCGTCTTCCCCTATCACCCTTCCCCCAATTCCAGACTGTGGCGAGAGAAGGTAACGAGATTGGATTTGTGGAAATGGGGGGAGGCAGCAAGCTTCACCCCTGCCCCAGACGGAGCCAAGGCAGCATCCAGGGGCAGAGGGAGGCTGGCAGGGACCCACAGGGGGGACCCACTCCTGGCTCTCCGCCACGGTACTGCTGAGCACACAAGTGTCCCCTGGCCGGAGGTGGGTTGTCCCCATGGACTCACCCCCTCCCTCCCCGCCATCCACAACCACCAGGTCTGAAGTTGTGTGCATGCCCCAGGGGAGGTGAAGGGCAGAGGCAGGAGGTGACCTGAGAGACCAGAGGCCCAGGAGTGGATGCGAAGAGTCCTCAGAGAAGCCCGAGTCTCGTCACCTGTGGAATGGGGTCAGCAGGAGTGGTCCAGGAAGGCCCCCTATGCGACCTTCTGGCCGAATCAATTTCCGGCTCCGTCTGTTTTTTAATCATTAAGCTCGAATACTGCTGATCTAAAAAAAGCAAAACAAAACAGGGCCCAGGGCCCACAAAATAGGTGCTTGCCTTTCCTGGGGCTGACCTGGATTCCATACCCAGCACCCCATATGCTCCCCCCCAGCCCTGCCAGGAGTGATCCCTGAGCACCGAGCCAGGAATCAGCCCTAAGAACTGTCGGGAATGGCCCTCCTAAACAAAACAGGTAACAACAAAGTATGTCCTCCTATTTAAAAATGGGCACAAACCCTCCTTTTAGAAAACAGAGTTGATGAATGTGAAACAGAAAATAAAGCAGATCGGGTCTGGGTTGCCAACCTCGGGCACTGCCCCAGGCCCAGAGGCCGCTGGGGTTCCCCACCCCCCACCGGGCTGCATTTGGCAGGCGGGCTTCCCTTCTGGTGAACCCCTGAGTTGGGGGTCTGGAGGCTGGGACTTGGCAGGGGCTGGCCAGGGCTCCCCCACGCCCACCCCTGGTGGTCCGAGTACTGCAGACAGAAACAAACTGGCTGGGGGTAACCTGGGCACGCAGCCAACCTGAGTTCAATCCCCGGCATCCCCTAGGGTCCCCTGAGCACTGCCAGGAGTGATCCCTGAGTGCAGAGCCTGGAGTAAGCCCTGAGCACTGCCGAGTGTGACCAAAAAAAAAAAAAAAACAAAATAAAATGAATTTAGAAAAACGTTTTTTGGGGGCTGGGGTGATAGCACAGCGGATAGGGCGTTTGCCTTGCACGCGGCTGACCCGGGTTCGATTCCCAGCATCCCATATGGTCCCCTGAGCACCGCCAGGGGTAATTCCTGAGTGCAGATTCAGGAGGAACCCCTGAGCACTGCTGAGTGTGACCAAAAAAAAATGAATAAAATAAAATGAATTTAGAAAAACGTTCTTGGGACCCTGCTCGGCGGTGCCTGGGACCATCATAGCTGCCCCGGCCTCAGCCACGCCAGGCATGTGCACTGCCCCTCATGATCCTCCCATGCCCACCTCTGTAGCTTCCCTCCTCCCTTCAAAGAGCACCCACAGATTCTCAAGCCACCCCCACTTCTCAGTATCTTGAGACTGCCTAGGGCTGCTACGCCCCTCGCCCTGCTCCAAGCTGCTCTTCAGGTCGAGGCTCTCTGAGTCTGGAGTACTCCCGCTGTACCCCCACCCCTACCAACTCCTCACTTAAAGAGACTGCTCTGAGGACACCTCCTCCTAGGGGCCCTCCCTGATTATACTTTGGCCCCGCCTTCCTCCCAACTATGCTCCCATCATCTTTACACACCCTTGCCCATCTCCACCCGGCACATCTCTGCCTCCTTCTCTCTCAGACCTCATCAAATCAACCACCACAGGGGAGGACAGGTCTGGATGGCCTGCTGCCCCCGGCCTCAATTGGAAGAACAATTGTCTCCTTTTTCTAGGCTTGTATTGCTGTTGTGGGTCTTTTATTGTTGTTGTTATTGAAAAATTGGGGCTGGAGCGATAGCACAGCGAGTAGGGCGTTTGCCTTGCACGCAGCCAACCCGGGTTCAATTCCCAGCACCCCATAGGGTCCCCTGAGCACCACCAGGAATAATCCCTGAGTGCATGAGCCAGGAGTGACCCCTGTGCATTGCCGGGTGTGATCCAAAAAGAAAAAAATAATAATAATCTGGGATTGGGGGGGGAGATAACACAAAGGGCTGGAGCAAGGACTTTTCCTGCCAGAGGCCCAAGTTTAGCCCCCAGCACCACACAAATCCCTGAGCACCACCAGGAGGGGCTTCCTGAGCACTGAAGTAGGAGTAGCCATGGAGTACCACCAGATGTGGCCGAAAGCCAAAGACACACCAAAGAAAGAAAAAACGTGGGGCTGGAGAGATAGCACAGCGGGTAGGGCGTTTGCCTTGCACGTGGCCGACCCGGGTTCGATTCCCAGCATCCCATTTGGTCCCCTGAGCACCGCCAGGAGTAACTCCTGAGTGTAGAACCAGGAGTAACCCCTGTGTATCACTGGAGGTGACCCAAAAAGAAAAAAAAGAAAAGAAAAGGGAAGACTCAGGGTGAATGGATGGAGCAGGGATGAGCTTAGAGATCTGAGCTTGGTCCTCACACCACAAAAGGCTCACGGTCACGGTCCTCCCGTTGTTCATCGATTTTGCTCAAGCAGGCCCAGTAACGTCTCCTTCGTGAGACTTGTTGTTACTGTGTTTGGCATATCGAATACGTCACGGGTAGCTTGCCAGGCTCTGCCATGTGGGCGAGATATTCTCGATAGCTTGCCGGACTCTAAAAAATCAAAAAGAGAGAGAGAAAAAAAAAAAAGGAAAATTTTAAAAAGGTTAAAAAAAAAAACCCAGCCCTCCATTGAGTCCCACCGTCCCGGCCGCTCTGCAGCCCTTCCAGTGTGAGGCTGCCACAGGCCTGGTTCCCGGGCTGCCAGCCACACTGCTGACAGCATTTTAACGATGCGACTTCTCCGGGGACCCATTGCCGCCATCCATCAGCACCTTTATGGCCGCCTGTGGCGGGGGACGCGTCTAATTACTTCCCTGCTAGATGCTCATTGCTTGACCCGTCCTGTCCCGGGCTCCTCGCGGCTTGTTTGTTTCTTTTGCGTCTTGTGGAACTGTTTCTGCGGCTGAATCCCCGGGGTTGTGTTAGCAGGTCAGCGGAGATGGATTTGGTGGCGCTGGGACCGCGAGTCGCTCAAGCAATGGGCCGACCCACGTGGGCACACAGAACCCGATGTTCCTTTTTTTTTTTTCCACTAATGCAATCTGTGTGTGTAATGAAGCTTCAAGATTGATCTGAGCAGAGCGCGTTGGATACAAATGACATCCTGAACCCAGCCTGGCAGGCCGGTCGCATCCTCCCACCCCCGACCCCAGCTAGAGCCACAGACGGGTCAACTGAGGTTGCTCACGGCCAGGTCTCCAGGCCCCGCGATGCTAATAGCCCCAAGTCTCGCTGTCAGAACGAGCACAGGGCACACTGACTGAGCACTTAGCATGCCAAGTCCGGCACTGCGTGGAATCTCAGTCAATCTTCCGAAATGCTTGGTGAGGGGTCGGAGCGATAGTACAGTGGTTAGGGCGTTTGCCTTGCACACAGCTGAGCTGGGTTCAACCCCCGGCATCCCATCGGGTCCCCTGAGCCCTGCCAGGAGTAATTCCTGAGTGCAGAGCCAGAAGTAACCCCTGAACATCACTGGGTATGACCCCAGAAGCCAAAAATATTTTTGTGTTCAGGGGCTGGAGCTAGTAGGGTGTTTGCCTTGCATGCGGCCAACTCGGGTTCGATTCCCAGCATCCCATAGGGTCCCTTGAGCACTGCCAGGAATAATTCCTGAGTGCAGAGCCAGGAGTAACCCCTGTACATCGCCGGGTGTGATTTAAAAAGAAAAGTGCTCAGTGACGGAGTCTGTCCCCCAGGACAGAGGAGAAAACTAAGGTGTAGAGGGCAGGAAATACTCAGGAGCGGCAAGGGTGCTTGTGTTGCATGAGGCCAATCCAGGTTCGATCCCTGGCACCCCTTCTGGGCCCCTGAGCACTGCCAGGAGCTGGAAGGTTCACAGCAAGGGCTGGGCTGCACTCTGCGTGGGGGAGGCCTGGGTTTAATCCCGACCCTGCCTATGGTTCCCTGGGCACCTCTGGGAGGGAGCCCCGAGCATCAGTCGTAGATAGCCCCCGAGTGGACCCAGATGTGGCCCCCAAATAAACAAAAAGCCACCCCGCCACAGACACCGGATTGGAGCCTGTCAGTGCCTGGGTCCCAAGCCTTGTGTTTAGTGTTTACTTTAATTCACTGTTTACTTTAATTGACCTCTTCCCCGGGCCGGAGCGATAGTACAGCGGGGAAGGCGT